AGCCATTTAAAAGGACAAAAATCTCGCTGCCGCTGGCCACTGATGGTCAACGACGCTGTGTCGAGATCAAGCTTCAGCAGTTTCCGTTCGTATGTGCTGTGGGGTCAGCGGTGTACAAGGTTCAAGGTGACACGTTGGACGCCATGGTCGTCGTCGACTAAACGTCAAGCAACTACATAATCAACAAACCCCAACCGTGTTACTTGCTCGTATCGCGCGTGACGAGCCGAAACGCATTTTACTCGCTTTCGTCTTTTACTTCCAAGTCGGCAAGGTGAGCGAAACCACCGCAAAACACCCTTGAGGAAGAGAAGCGGCTCAATGAGCTAAGCGCGCACACGCTCCTGGCGTCTACATCCCTCTCTAGTTACAATACCGCCGCGCCAGCAGCGATGGAGACCAAAGCCGAGACCAAGACTGAGACCAGCGTCCAGCAGCAACGCATAAACACCAACACAGCCTTCAGCAGCCATACCATACCGTCATCTGCAGACTTAGCACACCGCCTTTAGCAACAGCACGAGGGCCGGTCAACCAGATAAGCGCTGGGCGTCGATCAGAGAAATAGCGCTTTCGATGCACTTTACGAACTTTGTCCGGTGGAATGTACGGAGTTTCCTGCTTCCTCTTCTTCATCATCTTCTTAGCTTTCTCTTCCGGTTCATCACCATCGTCTTTTTCTTCACCATCGGCTACTGCAGCGCTTCGTAGAGACCGTCACGGCACGGGGACGCGGCAGTCGCAGCAGCGCGTAGTCAGGGGAGGATGGCTTGTTACCAAGCTGGACGACTGTGCCGGCTGTGCCGTCTCGCACGAGTTGGAATGTGGTTGGTGGCTCGTTTGGGAAGTGCACGCTCTCAAGTATGCCTAGCGTGCCGTTGGCAACACCCTTTGCGGTGCCAATGTTTTGAGGCACCTGGACTGGTATGCCCGTAATCAAGTCCAAGTACGGTGCCATACGCCCGAAGCGATTGTCGGGTAAGCCGAGCACGTATGCAACGTCGCTGTGACTGAGCTTGTTGAGCACGCCGTTGAAATTGGCCACAACGCGGATTGGGAAGCCTGCGGTGGCATCCTCGTTGCCGTCTGGGAAACAAAGGCATTTTTAATCGCGAGTCGCTTCGTATTCTCGGGGGTAACAAGCACACCGGCCTTCAGCGTGAGATCGGCCTCAACCTCAGCGTCCGATGGCTGTACTACACGGTTATTGAGGATGTCTACAAACTCTTGCGTCCACTCACCAACACGTGCATTCGCGCATCCTCGCCCCCATTCCGGGTCGTTGCGAAAGCGGACTGACTCGTCGAGTATGACAACAGTCGCGAATCGCCTCCATAGCTCGAAACCTTCGATATCAGCAGTCGATGGGCGTGTCTTGGTGGTTGGATCAACAAAAATTGCGTCTGCACCGACTGGGGGCATTTGCAAGAAATCACCTACGAGAACGATGTGCACACCGCCGAATGGTACGTTGGGCACTTGCTTGTACCTGCGCAGTAGCTTATCCAGTTTCAACCACTCGGGTTTCGACATCATCGATACCTCATCGATGACAAGCATGTCCAGCGTGGCGAAAGATTTGTTCTGGATAGAGTGCTTGATTCGCATTAGGAAACTGGCCAAGGTCCGTGCGCCAATTAAAGTAGCAGCTTTTCCTGTGAGCGCTGTCTTCGTCAGCGAGGTTTCGCGATGCCAGCTCATGCAGAACGTGCTGACTGCGTCAGTGATGCGGCCTTTGTCCGTTCCACCAGCACCACCGCGAAACATGAGCAATTGCTCGTCTCTGAGCTTCGCTTCAAAGTCATACCTGCTGTGGTCGCGGTGGCGAGTTCGATACCAGACTGCTCTTGCCGCAGAAAAGTTCGTAGTAGCGCAGCTGCGATGATCGTGAAGCGGCGTGCTGCCGTTGGTTGAATGTGAACGCGTGTGACACCTCTGTAATTGTTGCGTAATGGTTGACACCCTGGTGGGGTTGTCGATCACTTGCAACCCATATCGCAGCGGCTGGGTCAAGAGCTTTTGAAAGCAACTCAACGACTTCAGTTGGTCTCTCTTGTTGGTAATGCTCGGACGGATTTGATTCGTCCGTCGTTGATAATTCGACATATTGATTGAGCTCCTCAAGTGTAAATGTCGGTGCCTGGGGCAATGTTCCAAATGTGCTGGCGGCTGTCTCGGCGACCGGCGTCAGCAGTGAGTGATACATGGTTGTGGAGGAGGCAGCAGACAGATTAGATCGCGTGGTTGTCAGAAAGACTGGGAGCTCGTCCCCGATCACGCAGACGTTGAGCTCGTCACCTGAAGGGTCTTCGTATACCGACTCGCCTCCATCAACCATTGCCTCAACTTCGTGGTGAGTCCCCGTCACGTCGTCGTTTTCGTCCAACATGTCGATATCACCGTCTTCGCCGGCGGCAGCCTCTTGCATGTGCTTCTCGACTCGGTAGAACTCGTCCAAGTTTGCCATGATTTGGGAGATGAAACGCGATCGTGTGGGCTCCCATCGTTGATATGCATTGCCCCAGGCTGCAACGTTCCTGACGTCAGCGACGAGATCAGTCTAAGTACGAAAAGGGTGAAACAACACCAATGCGCAGTGGCTTCGTTTCACTAGAATCTCACTCGGCGACTCAGCATCAACATACGGCATGCGAATGCCGCTCACGACTTATGCACTATCGGTTCGGTGGGTACCAATGCAGTGCGTGTTGCTCAAAGGGTGTGCAGGCAGAAAACGGGACGCCACAGGCGCCGTGTGGGTTCGCTTGCGCCGGAAGCGCACCATGACGAACTCATAGAGACATAAGTTGTCAAGTACGTGCGGTCGGTAGCAGTAATCATCCAGTAGGGACGCCGCACGGTACACCGCAACCGACGTGTCGCCGTCGTGTAGCTCGACGAGATCACACGAGTGCTCGTCACCATTCATCAACTCCTTCAAGATGTCTTTCAACGGTAGTGGTGCACAGTGAGAGCTCCTATAGCAACACAAGCATCTAATTACCGCGAGCGGGCCGGCGATCTCGCGGCGGTTAGTGACCGCAAATGTGAGTGACGCCACTCGTCGGCGTCCGACACTTGCTCGGTCAGAGTTGTTGCACTGGTCGAGCTACTCTCGAGCCTGACGGCTTCGGAAGGAAGCTAGCGCAGCAGCCGTCACGGACTCGATCAATGCTTGCGGCTTTGTGACATACTTCGTCACATAGTATATTCGCAGGAGAGCATCAGCACCGCCAATCATGACTTGGATGTCATGGTTCGACTTGAATGTGGACATCATAACGGTGTTGAAGCCATTCACGTACTCATACCCGAGGTGACGAGCAACACTGACGCCTTCCGCAGTGTATCGATACGCTTGCGCGGCAATCCGTACCGACACGTGCCCGATGCAGCAGAGCTCTTTTTTTTAAGCAACTTCCAACGTATGACCACCAGTGCATGTTGAGGAAGTACACTAGCACTGATTCAGCAAAGGCCAGTACGTGTGACGGCCACCGAGCGTCGTCGAAAGACGGTGGCAATGTTAACACGGCTTGATTGACTGAGTCCATGCGGAACATATCGTCTTGAAAGCGCTCGCTGAGCTGTGGCGGACAGTTCAGTGACCGGAGGCCGTTCCCTTCACTGGCGGAGTTGTTTTTGCGGCCCGCCAAGTAGCAGTCACGGCGGAAGATTGCGCTCTTTGCTGCGATCGTCGATCCTCGGCAACGTAACCGCCAGCTTTAGCTCGTCTGCTGAGTGTTCTCGCCGCGGTGGTGGCCACAGTGGTGGGCGATGGTCAAGAATCACGCGGCGCAAAACGTGTTGAGAGCTAGCCTTGCGGCCACACTGACCACATTGAACCAGCAGCGGCTCTGCTGACTGCCCGTCTTGCCGCCGGTCTGGTCTTGCATAGGCTTTCATTGGGATTGGCAGCTCCTTCAAATGCGCGTACGACTCACCACAAAACTGACAGTGCGATTCAGCAATATCCAGCGGAAGTGATGTCGTCACGATACTATCTGTATACTTTTCAAGGTTACGGTAGTACTGCTCGCCGTGGGTCTCGATGGCACGGTCAAACGCTGCTCAATTTGGCGGTGCGTCTGCCAACCAAACGAGGAAATGGGCGTGCAGCGTCCCGCCGCCCTGCGTTTCGACCATACCGAAGTACGCAGTAACTTCTCCAAAAAGCCCGCCCAACCAATTCCTAATCACTCTGTCGTTGTACGACATTGCAGCTGACAACCCAAGTATCCCGTCCCTTGGCTCCATTATCGTTTTTGTACCAACCAAACTACGCTTGTACCGCCACTGCTGCCAGGTCGAAACCAAGGTATACCACATCGGGACAGTGACCCCACCGTGATTCCACCACATTCATCTTCAACAGCCTACGCATGTATCTCGAAAAAGATCTACGACAACTTGACATATATTTACTCACTCTCAACTGACACAGGCATGCGCAATCTAAGTCTAACCAACATCTACTTAACAACATCTACTTAGCACCGTTACTTAACACCTTTTCTACTACCCCCCTCATTGCCACCGTTTTACAACGTTTGCACAGCGTTCGAACTGCGATCCTTGGAGCCCCTGGTCCGGTACCCAATCTTTTTTAAAACTTCTTTAAAAAGACCACCCCCCGCAAAATGTCACTCTAGAGTAGCCCAAATAAAATAAAATCGAGCCTAGTAAAAAATGATTTCTTAAATTTTCAAACGGTCGTATCTTGGCGCGAACTTCAAAGCTGACTGCAACCAGTACATGAATCGAAAGCTCGCGACGAACTCTATCAGGTACACCTGCTAACTTTAAAAGCAAGTTTTTTAGATTGCTAAGGATCATTTGGTTTTAAAGTTGTCTCATTTCGGAAATCGTTTACCTGGTTTGGTGAAATCGCTAGCCATTAAAAATATGGTACCAGAAAATGTCGGCAAAAAAGTCAATCCCCCCCCATCAACTACTTGAAGTAACTATTTTCAAACACATATACTACTGACTTCATTCGCTTAATAGTCTTCCGTCGAGTCCGAAGAATCCGAGGCAATTACTCCCATGTTATCCTTCGCAAACCTCGATGTGCAAACGGTTGAGGCTCCACCTACATTTGCGTTCTCAGTAGTCGAGGTAGCGCAGCTGGCGACGATCTCGTTGCTATCACTTTCGACCCCCCACTCAATCAGACTCGCCTCGTTTCGCTTTACCCGCTTCATTTGCTGCTTCTCCCTCTTGTGTCCAGCACAATACCCGCTTTTGTCGGCGTATTTATTACACCATTCAAGACTACAATGCCTGCCGCCGCCATGATCATAACACAGTCCCTTGGTCGCCCGTCTCTTCGTGCAGCCCTCGATCTTACACCGCTTGCCTCCACCATGGGCACCACAGCGACCTCCTGGCTCCGCTACCTTTTCACACCCATCCACTACGCACAGTGGAGCGCCACCGCCATGAGCTCTACACAGATTCTTAGTTCGAGCGACCATCAGACAGCCTTCAACAGTGCATCGCTTGGCGTCCGTCGGTTTGCCACCATGAGCATAGCACAGTCCCTTCCTTTGCGCGCTCTTCTCACAGCCTTCCACTGTACAAGCCTTACCTCCGTGAGTGTAACAGTGTCCACCTTTAGTAGCAGATCGCTCACAGCCGCCAACTTTGCAGCGAGTGCCTCCTCCATGGCTTTTACATAACCCTCGAGACTTGACTTGGTTGGTACAGTCTTGGTGTTTGCATTGTGGGCGCTTGTAAGTTTTCTTTGCCTGAGTTTTGGGCGTAGGCAAAGTGGGCGAGCCTACAAGCGCATTTAAAGGGTTACCAGGGTGGTGGTTATCGAAGTAGCTTAGAGAAGAACCAGAGTCGCTTTACGTACTCATGGTCACACTGCCAGTGACTCACTGGCTTGCAGCTTGATGGACTCTCGAATAGGTACGATCTGCGACGTGTGTACAATGTCAATGTCAATGTTAGGCATGCTGTTTGCAGTCTGACGGTCGTTTTAGCACATAGTAGTCTCAGTTGCATGGCCCGAAAGATCAGCGGATAGCTTTCCAGCAGCAACGAGTTGGACGAAAGCCTGTCACCAAATCCGCGGTTCCGGACCCGATAGCAAGGTTTTGTCGAAATGTGCGTGAGGCACCAGGTCCGTGATGGTGACGCAACCTTTGATACACAAACAAACTGTCCGGTATTCTATACATACATGTTTTGACGAAGCTTTCACTGAACAGACTGGCGTTCTCTGTCTGTAATGTTACCTCAATGTTGTTTTAATTGGAGCAACAGTAAACACTAAAAAAAATTATTGCTGGTCGATAGGTGTCACAAATAGCACACATATATCTACATCCACAACCGAGTTCATGTCCACTTCTAATTCTTCATCACAGTCCGAAATGATCAAGAAACCATTGATTTCAATCTTCGACTGGGACGACACGCTGTGTCCAACAACGTGGCTTCATGCTCGAGGGTTGCTAGTGGCGCACGGACTCATTGACGGAGCTCCATCCATGGAGATCGAGACGTTTGAGGAGAAACCCGCTCCCTCCCCATTGACTTCATCAGATCGACAAGGACTAGAACTATTAGAGTGTCAAGTTCTGGAGCTTTTGCAATTGGCGGCTCGATTTGGCCCTGTATTCATCGTCACGGCCGCCTCGTTGCCTTGGGTAGTGGCGAGTGCAGAGAATTTTTTGCCTAGAGTTCGGCAGTTCTTACTGGACAATCAACGTCAATGTGAGAATAAAAATGCCGACATTGAACGCGTGCAGGTGGTGTCGGCGAGAGATTGGTACCATCATCAAATTGGTACAGGTGGAAGTCAGCTTGAGTGGAAATGCGCTACATTTGAAGCGCTGTGTAGCCATCTGAAAGTGCAAGATGTGTTCGCGAGGTTAAAGACTCGAACCGATTTGATCTCGATTGGAGACGCGCGCTTTGAGCAGGAAGCGTGTGTGAGGATGGGGATGGAGGCGAGTGAGTGTTTGCGAAGTAAAACGATGAAATTCGTCGAGCAGCCGACGTTGAAGGAGTTGTTGGAGCAGCTTCGGATGATGAGCAAGATGTATGAGTCAATGTGTCAATACGACGGCGGACTCCATCTTTGCGTATCGAGGAAAGAGACGAGCAACTCTCAGCACAGTTGTGGGGACGGAGATAGACTTGTCGAGAATGCACTTGAAACGTTGCAGCTGGTACAAATTGACCGGGTTACCGAGTTAAAAGAGTCCACTGCTAGAGATTGCGAGGCGAGACTTCGACAACTTCTAGCCGCAGCAGACTCGTTGGCCTATAAAGTACGTTATGCTGACCACGACCATAGTTACCAGAACAAACCACCGCTTGCAGCTGTACCGGGAGCTCGAAGCTGAAATGAAGAATTATTTCTAGTGTAGAATAGTCACAGGGTAGGTAGAACTTAAATATAATGGCATAGGCGCCTTCAGACGCTTCACTTAGCTTCACGTACGCGGCCAATGCACACCAAACTTAAATACTTGCTGATAAATTAGCTTTCACTTAGCTGCGACTGCCGTTAATCTTTTTTTTTCTCGTTGGGATGCAGATTCCATGTACACGGACCCAGTAGTAAATCCGAAGAAGACTTTGAAAGTGTATCCAGAATTAGTGATCACCTCCGAAATGCTCCGGTCAAACTTTCTCGCATGAGCAGATTCTTATCCACACAACATCTTGTATCTAAACAGGCCCGCGAGGAGGCGATTGTCGCTTGATGGAATTTCAAACTTCCTACAAGACTGAATGTGCAAAATTCGATAAGCTTGCAAGATTCTAGCAAGGAGAACAGCAATGACGCGAGTGTCTCTCATTTTCCAATTTGATCTACAACACGACCGATAATTTCCCTTCGTTTGTTTTGTGCTCTTCCCAAAACTTCAAGCAGCAAAATGCTCACTCGTTTCGCCGTCCAGCTCGCCTTTAATCGCTGCCTCGATCGCATTTTTCTCCTCGTCTTCGGACGCCTGCCTCACGGGGTTGTTCGGGGGTAATGACTGCAATTTCGACAGCACGGGCATCAAGTGCTCGGCCGGACTTTGGATGCTCCGTGTGATGAGAACACTCCGTCAATTCCTTCCGGCGAGTTATTGAGCGCAGGTGGACTGAGCGGTGGCGTCACCGCAGATGCCCCATGCGATGATAGCACTCGTATTCACGAGTCGTGAGTCATGAGTGAAATGACAAGTGGTCTACTAAGTTCTGACTTGTCGGTATCGCCACCGTGCATGCTCCGTGCTATATACCATATAGGTAATGATACGTCAGTCATTTCGAGAGGACCACCAAGCGGTCCATTTCTTGGGTTGCCGGCCGCCGGCGACGGGTACTCTGAAGGCGGATGTGACCTCTGTAATACTCGCGAACAAAACCCGGAAATTTCCCGGAGCGGACGACGAGAGAGCTCTTCTTCCACTCATTACAATCTGTGTTTTTGCAAGAACCACCGAGTCATTTCGGCTTACTGCGGCCCCTGGAGTTCTACGTCGTCGGATTGTAGAAAGTCCAACGAGGATCGGTATGATCTCACGAAACGGGAGCTCCCGAGGATTCTCGCTCCTCTTCTTGTTGCTATTCTGGTCTACCACGAGCTCTCTGGCCCTGGGCCGACGATACATTCGCCCTCTTCCAGACCCTGTCAAGGCCGAGCTGATGTCCGAGGAGACTACCAGCCACGTGGCCCCCAACACCCGACAGCAGCAGCTTCAGCAGCTCCAGCGTGTTTATTGTCGGGGTAAGCTGCTGCACGATGTGCAGATGCAAGAGCTCTTCCCTGACAGCAAACACTTCGTGGATATGCCCATCAAGGCCACGTCGTCGGTAGATGAAGTTCTGACTCAATTCAAGGAGCTCAAGGCGAGTTTTAGTAACGAGACAACAGGAACAGAACGGAAAGCGCAACTCGCTGCGTTCGTAGACCAGCACTTTGACGCTCCAGGAGCAGAACTGGTGCCAGTCACCCCGCCAGACTACAAGGAGGGCGAAATACCACACAAGATCAAAGAGATTAGAGATGGACGTCTGCGTGGATGGGCGACGGAAGTCCACAAACTGTGGAAGGTGCTCGCTCGCGTCCCTGCGTCTGCCTCTGCGGACCAAGCGTCTAGGAGCTCATTTCTTCATTCGCTTCCTATTGCAGCACCGGATGACCCTCAAAACGCACTGGCACGTCGATTCAACGGAGAAAACGTGCTCGTTGTGCCCGGTGGTCGCTTCCGTGAGAGCTACTATTGGGATTCGTACTGGATTGTCCAGGGACTTCTCGTCAGCGGGCTGCGTCAAACTGCTCGCGGAGTCGTGAATCACTTGCTTGAATATGTGGCGGAGTTTGGCTTCGTTCCCAATGGCGGGCGTGTCTACTACCTCGCACGCTCACAGCCGCCAATGCTCTCAGATATGGTGCGTGTAGTTGCGAAGCTGGACGATGGAAATGGCTCAGATGACTGGGACCTTCAATACTTACGAGCTGCGGTGCCCTTACTTGAGCGAGAGTACGACTTCTGGATGCATCGAGGCGTCCACGGCCATGCAGTTGAGGTCCCAGGATCAAGTGAGACCTTCGTGCTCAACCGCTACGTCGCACATGCTGACGAACCTCGACCTGAATCATACCGTGAGGATGTTAACACGGCGTCTACTGTATTTGGCAACGACAGTGATGCTGCGGAGAAGAAATCACTGTACAACGACATAATCGCAGCGGCAGAAAGCGGCTGGGACTTCAGCAGTCGATGGTTCAGCGACTACTCTACTTTAAATACGATCCGCACTTCGAGAGTGATTCCTGTTGAACTGAACGCCATTTTACACCGCGTGGAGCTCAACCTCGCAACATTCCACGAGCTACTGGGAAATTCCGATGCATCGGCACGGTTTCGGGACGCAGCGAAGACTCGCGTGAGAGCGATGGATGCTATTTTATGGAGTGAGTCGGATGGATGCTGGAAGGACTATTTGTTGGACTCCCGCGAGCATTCTCCAGTGGTATCCATGTCGAACTATTCTCCGCTGTGGGGTGGAGCTTTTGATGCTTCTGTTGCTTCTCGATTGGAGAGAATCGTGATATCATTAAAGAGATCGGGGCTAGTACAGGAGGGAGGTATCCAAACCACGACGTCCGTCACTGGACAGCAATGGGATGCACCAAACGCGTGGCCACCGCTGCAAGATATCATCATTGAAGGCTTGCTGACGGCAGGAACAGCAACATCGCGCGCTCTTGCGAAAAGTCTCGTGCAAACGTGGGTCAGGGCCGGATTCGTAGCCTGGCAGAAAACTGGGCTCATGTTTGAGAAGTACAACGCTCTGCAGCTTGGGGGTGTAGGAGATGGCGGCGAGTACACACCGCAGTTTGGTTTTGGCTGGTCGAACGGCGTCATTCTTACTTTCCTGACCAAGTATCAAGAGCAAATTGGTGATGCGGCTGATTCGTTTGGCTCCCCAACGACCTCTAAAGTAGTATTTAAAAAATACGACCGATTGCTGTTTTAATTGGATAGTGCTGCAAGAACAACGTGCTGTCCAAATAGAAACGCGATCTATTTTTGGCTGCCGATTTTCCCGCCTTGAAAAATGAAGTCAAATAAATTGTTGGTACAAGCGCCACACTAATTAAATTAGACGCAGTCTCAAAATTAAATTTTGAGACTGCGTCAAACAAAATGATACTTACGGTACGAGCCATTTAAAGTTATCGAGCTTAAAGTTGGCCAATTGATTTTCGCACTTAACCGAAATTGTGTCACATTAACTGTAAACTTTCATTGAAAAAACTGTAAAACTACCCTTATTCAATTGCTTTTAACAAGAGCTTTTAAATAGCACTTGAACTTTTAAAGTTGAAAAAATACTGAGCTCACAGCACTCCTAAATGTATCGTCATTTCGAGGGCCCATAAATGGAGATAATATTTTTGAGCGACCACAACTTCTTCAGTTTAAGCATTCTGTAGCTTATAAGGGCTCAAGAGAAAGAGTAGACGCCCCGCTTTCGTTTAGAGTGCTTAAATCGCGATTCGTACTTAGGTTCGTAATAATCATTTTGTTTTGGGTCTCGTTTATTTTAGTAAACCTATCTAAATTCGTACAACCCCCTCTGATAGGTTGTATCTGAAGAAAGATCATAAATGAGTGTCGACACCAGGCGCGACGTGAAGGCTCAGGCTGAGACCCAGCGCTGAGAGAGGCGTCATACTCACGCGGAAGTGCTAAAACATGTGCGATGCCAGCCCTTGTGTGAAGAGGCCACCCCCAACAATATATACAAGTGATCTGTCGGTGCCCGGCATACTGAATCCTATTCTACGCCTGACGCTGCAGCCTGCGGCTGCGGACTTGCCGACGTGCCACGTGCGGAGCTGTTATACCAAGTTTACTATGTTCGCTGGACAAGAGCGACCGTATCGTCGTGGTGCTCACAACGATACTGACTTAGATGAAGTATGCTTTATATTACTTTATGTAAAGAATAGAGCTTTGCGGAGAGGCGTACTGGCTTGCTTGTGACATGTTCTCTCTCACAGCTCAATTTGTGGTTCAGCGAACCCAAGAGGAGACCAAGCCCACACCAGTACTGCACCCTGTCGTGGCCTTTTGCTCGACGCTCACGGTGTTTACGTACATTTTTTTATTGCTCTGTTTCTTAAGTGTAAGTCTGTTCTAATGGCACCTCTTGGAGAGCAGTCCAGTGACGCGCCCTGTGTCACCTCAGGTTATGATCCCAATAAGGGTCCATGGCTCGACATCGGACGCACCTGGTGTGCAAGACCCAAGCCCCGGCGGAATTTCGACGAATGGAAGTTGAGGAGCACTTCGATTGGCTGATAATGTGGCAGATACAGCGACTGGTTTTGATGATGATGTATTCTCACACGAAGAAGCCAAACACCTTATCCGGTCGGTATCCGGAATTCAAGGTGGCCGATCATTGGTGGAAAATTTACATGAAAGGTTGCGTGCTCGCAGCTTTCCAGTTAGAAATCAGCCACCATCGCCACCAAACAATCCGAGTGACGGCGGTGACTCCAGCGCAGGGCACCGCGAAACCCATTGAAGCCTACCAAGCATACTGGACAGCCGGAACCCCGCCGGGCGCTACGACGACGTAAATCTAACAGAGCACACGAAGTTGCTGCGCAACACGGCAGACATCCTGCTGCCCCCGTTGTCGAAGAAGGAAGAGTACACGGCGTGGGTCAGTGAGGTGCCGTTGTACTTCAAGAGCCGCCTGCTGGGCGAGATTACTTACGGTGCGGAGAGATTTGACTCCGTGGAAGGCCAGAAGAGACCCAAGTATGCAGAGTGGTACAATGCGAGGAAGGTGAAGGCATTCTCAGCTTAGTATTGTCGCTCTCGGTGGATCGACGCACGACGTTCAAGATCAACGCCGTCCGTGATCAGATGGAGGCCCCGTCACTACTTTAGCAACGAATTACTGGGCATTTTGAGGCGGTTGACGGTATCAGCCCTGATTATCTACGGTGCGAGCTGGCGAACCGTCAGCTCCAGCCCGATGAAGCCGTAGCTACGTACGTGCAGGACATTGACGCTGGGGTAAGTCGACTGCAACTAGCGAAGGGCGAGTTTGAAGAGTGGGAACATGCAAATCTAAAAAAATTCGAGCACGTTGTTGGTGTTTCCTGAACTGGCACGAGAGCACTCACTTTGGATAAGAAAACATGATCGTCGGACCATGACACTTGCTGGGATTGCAGCGCCTCCGCACTGCGGAACATTCAAGCAACCGGCTGCAGCAGCAGAGCTCGCTGACGGCGTCAAGGACGACAAAGTCGAGTGCGAACCAAGTGAGTAATGTAAGTCAACATTCAAGACAAGGACATACAGGCAAGCGCCAGAGGCAGCCCAGGGGCAAGAACGCCGACAAGAAACGGCGCTTTACCGGTGCTAACTGCGAGAAGCATGACCTTTGGTACACTGAGTGTCCTGCGAGCACTGACATGGAGCTGAAGCCTGAGGTGGTACAGCGCTTAAAGAAGAAGGCCAAGAAAGAGGCAGTGTCGCTGATCAACTCAGTGCGTTGCGTGCATATGACACCGACGGCTGTCCAACCGCACGCCTGTTCGAGAACTTGGCGCTGAGCTCGTCGCATACAATTGAAGGTGCGACTGGAGAAAGCTGTGAGAGACGATCGGCGTCACCCATCTACTCACTGATGTCATCTGCGAGTGATGACGACGAGACGGAAGAGCGCATGGTGAGACCAGCGGATGAAGTGAGCGTGCCAATGACGCCATAGCAGATGCAGCTACAACTGAGTCAGAGTGTACAAACTACTAAAGCTGTGCATGGACTCGTCGATGGGTAGCGCCGACTCCTTCGGCGCGTAGTGCGCTGCTACGTAGCTTGCAGCTGGCGTTGGACTAGTTCCCGAGGTAATCAGCGTGCGTGTGGTCGATGGCAAGATATCCGACGCCGTGTCTTCGCCTGCGTGCTCGGCGTTATTCAGTTTGAATTCAGCCAGTGGGAGGAAAGAGCTCCAGTTGGCAAATGACGCGGCGTAGCCTTGAAGTATGTCTTCGAAGACCCGGTTCACCCGCTCGGTGTGGCCGTCCATCTCCGGGTGCGCAGCAGAGGACATCATCCGCTTCGTGCCTGTCAACTCGAAGAAATTGGTCCAGAAGGCGGCCATGAAGCGAGGATTACGGGCGGAGACAATGGATTTGGGCGATCCGTGGTGACGGAATACATGGTCGACGATGTGCGCCGCGGGTTAGCGGTGAGTGCAAGGTGAACGGGCACGAAGTAAACCATCTTGCTGAATCGATCGACGAGGACGAGGACGCCCGTCGGGCATTCATGCGGCAGACCGAAGCCAAAGTCGATTGAAACTGATTTCAAAGGCTCCGTGGCAATTGGGAGCGGGCGTAAAGGCGCCTGCGACGGGGGAAAGATTGACACGTTGCCAAACCGCGCAAGATCACATTCATTTGCGTACCTATTTGTACAAGTGGTGCTAATAGAAATCGCGGGACACGGCCGCGATTGTCTTCTCGCGGTCGAGGTGTCCGTCGATGGGGGCGCCATGCAGCTCGTGTATGTCCCACGAGCGCAAGTCGGGGCATTGGGGATGACTATTCGAGGAACAGCATACTGGTCAATGCTGTACGTCAGAAGCTCGTCGTTGAGCTGGTATCGGAGAACCAGATTGCGATATGACTGTGACAAAGCCCCTAGTGTGATATCACGGGGAGGTTGAAGGTGCTACTTGATCTTCGAGTGGACGGGATCATGTTCATAGACAGCGACGATCTCGTCCCGAAGCGACAGCACTGGGGCGACGCTCGTCAGGCTCAAGCACCGCGTCACGCACGTGGCACACGGCCCTTCATCGCCGACGGCACCCCGAGGGTCATAATCGGGACGACGCGAAAAAGCGTCGGCGAGGAAGTTGTTCTTGCCGGGATTGTAGTGGACTACGATATTATATTCCGAGAATAACGATTGCGAACGCGGCATGCGTTGAGACAAATGCAGACTCTCTTGATCGCTGTTCGCAGCGATGCGTGGCCCAAGTAAACTGCGAAAGCCTGTTCCCCCAACAAGTACACCCTGAACTTAATCAAGGCGTAGCGCATTGCCAGGAGTGCCTTGTCGTGAACGGGATAGCTCCATTCTGCGGGGTTCATCTGTCGCGATTGATAGCTGGCAACGCGCTCTCGACCATCGCCGTCAAACCGGATCAGCGCGCACCCAATCGCGAAGTCACTGAAATCGCATACGACATGGAACAGCTTGGACTCGTCGGGCAGCATTAGTGTTGGTGCGGCTGCACAGCTTTTCTTCACCAGATCGAAAGCTTTCTGGTGCTCGGGACGCCACGACCACGCGGCGTCTTTCTTCAGTATCGACCAGAGCGACTGGATCAGCCCCGCGTACTTCTTGGTGTACTTGTGGAGATAGTTCGCAAGTCCCAGTCATTGCCGGTGCTGCGTTAAGTTTGAAGGAATAGGTCACGCGCAGATGGAGAGATTTTCTCCGGGTCAGCCTGGACGCCATTCTTACTAAAGAAGCAGCCAAGAACCGGTATTTTCGGTGCGCAGAAGATACATTTCGTCGGGGTTCGCGTACAACTTTGCCTCTCGCACGAAACACCTGCTTCAGCTGTCGTATGGGCCTTCCACGGCGCTAAAGCCACCCTTAGCATGACTGTATGCGAAGTTATCGCCGAAGTTGCTCGACGCGAAGCCGCGCAGGGGCCGCAGCACGTGGGAAATCATACGATTGAAAATGACGGGTGCGTTCTTGAGACCCTGGGGTATCACAAGCCATTCCCAGAGCATACCGCTTGGGGTACTTAAAGACGTGAGGGGATCGTCATCCCGGCCTCATCAAGATCTGGGAGAAACCGTCCGTCAGATCGATAGCGCTGTAGATCACGTTGCCAGACATGTAGTCGAGGATCATATCCTAGCGCGCGATCGAAGTCTGTGCTGGGACGATGGCGTCATTCAGCTTGTTGAAGGCGTGGACGAT